TTCTTTTATTTTAAAATTGGGCGAATACGTAGAGCCCTATTCTAATGCAACGAGTCTACTCGCTGTTATATCTTAAAACATCATTATCATATTTTTACTATTCTTATAAACAATAATGGAATGCATAGACTATGACTTAAGGCAAAACTTGTAAGGTACGTTTAATTGCTTGAGGTTCGGGCCCGGCGAAGTCGTCTGTAGTACTAGATTGCAGCACAAAAAAACACATCAAGTAACTTGGCTGTCCCCTGACCAAAAAACACAAAACCAAATCGATCATGTTGTGATAGACGGAAAACTCACTTTAGACAGTTCTTGACATCGACTCGGACCATTATCTTATTGCAGTAAAGATACGCATGCGCCTCTGTGTATCGCAACGCGCCCGTCAACAAACACAAGGAAAGTTCGACGTTGAAAAGCTGCAATCACTCTGCATGTACACCTGCTCTCTGAAACCACTCATCTGCAACTCGGTATACGAGACCTGTGGGATAGAATTTCAAGCTCTTTACATACAGTTGCAACCGTAACTATTGCATTTCGTAAAGGTCGCAAAAACAGCTGGCCGTGTTGTAATGGAGAGAAAACATACTACCTACCTCGTAACCTTCCAATCGACCACAGCACGTGCGGGATGGGATAGATACCGAGGGCTGAAGAGGGAAGAAAGACGCACCTGCGGACAAAAAAAGGTAGAGGTCGAGATGCAGTGAAGAGCTGACGGAAGCATGCACCACGATTGGAATTTAAGTGTGCTCTGCCCAATCCATTGAACAGTGGACCCCACAGTCTGCGCCAATCACCGTGGGTTAAGCCTCCACATTGTGTGAAAGGTCGAAGCCCACCGTCAACGAACTAATTGGACCTTATCCGTGCGGCTTAAGACCTGGTAAGTCGACCATTCCACCAGATATTTACCATGCGACAAATCTCGGAAAAAACAAGTGAAATAAGGATCGACATCCACCACCTCTTCGTCGATTTTAAATCCGCCTTCGACTGCATGAAAAGGAGTTGACCTTACGCCGCTATATCTGAATTTGGTATGCCAGCAAATCTTATACCAAACGAGATTTCAGACAGAGGAGAGAATAATAAAAGCTGCAGAGCTGAACAGAGAAGGTAAAATCTTCTATAAAAGTGTACAACTACTTGTTAAAGAAGCGAAGTGAATGGGTCTGGTAGTGAACGAGGACAAAACGAAATATTTTCTTTCATCAAAAAAACAGTCATCGCATTCGCGACTCGGCTCAAACGTCATCGTTGACAGTCATAACTTTGAAGTCGTAGATAATTTCGCCTATTTAAGAACCAGTATAAACAATAACGTCAGCCTTGAAATCCAATGCAGAATCACTCTTGCCAACAGGTGCTACTTTGGACTGAGTAATTGAAAAGTAAAGTCCTGTCCCGACGAATGATAACCAAACTCTACAAGTTCCTCATCGTTCCCGTCCTGCTATATAATGCGGAAGCATGGACGATGACAACATTGGATAAGACGGCGTTAAGAGTTTTCGAGAACTGGGTTTAGCGTAAGATTTATGGTCCTTTGCGCATTGGCAACGGCGAATGCAAATACTACAGCTTTGAAAGTTTTCAATGCAGTACCCGCCGGTGGAAGCAAAGGAAGAGGAAGACCTCCACTCCGTTGGAAAGACCAGCTAGAGAAGGACCTGGTTGTACTTGGTATTCCCAATTGGTACTAAACAGCGGCAATAATCGTGTAAGCGCCAATTAAATAAGTAAGAGAGACGCTGTCGCCTGACTAAGTCTATAGTTTTATAAAAAAAAAGGTTCAAAATTGAGATCAGCCATTTAGCAGGTCGCAAAAATCGAAACAAACAATTTATTTGTTGTGTTAACATAATTGTCATATAAAATCAAACAAAGGTAGAGGATGTTGCAGATTTTATATTACTTTTGCTAAAAAAATATCGTGAAGAAAATGAAAGTTTTACCTTTTAGTAATCAATCAGTATTATAAACATCTTTGACCAGTCCTAAGGCAACAGAATATCCATATTCTTTTAAAGAGGAAGTATTTAGGAATTTCCTTTGGCTACTAAAGTCACAATGGTGGAGCTGAATTCAAGAAATAAAGCCACATGAATATCGTTCCAGGCAAAATATAATTTCGTTTTAGATTCACATAAGTCAAATCTAATATTATTTTACAAAAGCGCGACATTGGTGACTAAGTGAAGAAATAGAAGTTCCACAAGAATATTTGTCCGATGATGAGCAGCAGTTCAATAGCTCCGCTGCAAAAATACTTCCGATCAATTGAGCCAACTATGTCAGAAATGCACGAGATCATATCCGGTCAACTTGTAGAACGATTTCCCTTGTGAACAGCCGAATGTTGTCAGCGCTGCATACCATAGTTTATATAATGAGATTTCTTATGTAAGCTTTGATAAATAAACTTTAACAACTTTAATAAATATTATTTAATAAACTAATGCAGTTCAATTCAAATTCAAATTTTTCCGAGCAACGTTCAATCGCAATTAATTATTAAAAACAACGACCGATGATAAAATGAAAAATCAATTCTATGACGATATGGTGGGATCCAATTGGCTCCTTGGCAGTCCTCTGAGTTTTTTGAATATCTTGAAATTCTTGAAAATAAATCGATGTAAATAAATAAAATAAGAACCAAATTACTCGCTCATATCTGTAGTTGTAAAAATACTAATGTTAATTCTAATATTATTTTATTTAAGTGAAGAAAGTATCCGATTGATATAAATTTCACTTTTTACATAAATGAATGAGGTCAAATGTAAATTTAACATATTCAAACATCAGTTCTTTACTAAAATTTAGTATTTTTATAAAGTTCTTGTACGCATCTCTAGCAAAGGAGTTAATTTTTCGCCTCATTTTTAGACGATTTTTTGATACTCTCTTCATACGATCCTCCTAAAAGAGAAATTTAAATTCTTAAACGCATACATTCAAAGCAAGGCGAATTTATAGAAGGTGAAGTTGTCAAATCATATAATTGCCTGTTTTTCCTTCTAATTCAACAGATTACAAAAAACAAAATACATGTGAAATAGGGTTTGAAATTTTTAACGTTCGTTTACACAAACAAAACAAATTGAACGAATTTCGTTTTTGACTTTTCGAAACTATAATTACACAAACGAAATACCTTGGGTTTTTTTTGTATTCTTGCTAAAAAACGCTGCGTACTGATTTATAGTTCTAAACGACATAATCCTATTTTCTGCTCTTAAATTGAACGATTATACAAAACTTCTGTATGTATAACTGTTCCGTACCATACTTTATGTACGTTTTCATCCAGAAAATTTACTAAGTTCTTTGATATGATAGATCTATCAATAGAGGATGTTACAATGGGCCAGCTGGCAAATCACTTGCTTCTTTTGACGTCATTATATACGCGGAAGGAACGGGTTTGTAACTTATTATAGGAGGAGCTCAGACTGTTTTCTTGATTTTAGTGATATACATTTTTTTCGAGGCAAACATTTGTTTACGAAGATATGGGTGGACGGAAAATTATTAAACGCTATATCTCAAAATGTTGTACACCGAAGTTTGAAAACACGGCATCGTTGGAAAGGTAAGTAAAATTCCTTTTGTTTGATATCCATATATCAATAATTTGTAGAAAAAAATTTTTAGAAAATCCAGTAAAAAAATTACTATTTTATTTAAAAAAAAAATTAATTTTTCTTAAAATTTTGTCTTATTATCCACAAGCTAAACCACCAGAAATAAAAGGAGCATAAAAGTACCTTTAATTTATTATATGACATGCAAAAAAATTCTCTTACATAATAGCATATTCGCGGAAAGCGGCTAAAATTTCTTAGAAAGTTGTTAGCCTTCGGCCGCGCTTTGTTTTTTAACCAAGGTCCGAACCAACACCGGCTTCGCCGAGTGGTCAATGCTCGTAATGGCACAATTAAAATGAATTTTTCGCGCTATTGAAAAGTGACTACAAAGTGTAATACACCAAATTAAAAGTATTTTTATGATCCTTTTATTTAATAATGTTTCGAGATTGGTTTATAACATAATTTTAATAAAAACAAGTTTTTTTATATAAAATGCATTTTTTATTACTGGATTTTTTCCTCAAGTTTTCTTCCAAAAATATAAATAAACGCACATCAAACAATAGAAACTTTTGTCACCTGTCTAACGATACCAAATTTATAAGATTTGGTGCTCAACTTTTTGAGATACTATACGGTCTGTATTCTGCACTTACGCTATTTATTTTGAAGTTTTCCATTTAAATTTTGTTTTAATGTTACTTCATCACCACTTAGCCGTGTGAAGATTTATTTGGCCAGCTATATGGCTATATCGCCAACACCAATTCTATTATTTTACTAAGAGTTTTCCATTTAAATATTTAAATTTTTCTGTGACGCAAAAGATCTTGTTGCCATGAGCTTAACGTAAATCATCTTTGGAGCGAAGTTAGACAACAATTCCCGTATTTGCATCAAAATGCTCTATCTATCGATAACATACTTGCAAATATCGATTATGCGACGATAAATCATTTGCAAATCTTGGATATAGACAATGATGACTAGATACGAAACTCTTTATTCCGTGAGAGCGCTCAAAAATCCGCATTTTTTATAACATTTCTGAACAGTGCCACTGTGATAGAAAAATGACCTTTTTGGATTTTTAGGTATATTTTGGGTATTTTATTACAAACAACGGCGTCTTTAATTGCAATTCCACTAAAATATTTTATTAAGAAACAAGTCAATATTTAATTATATTAAGTTTTCATAATATAATTACAATAATTTCTTTAATATTTACTGCTGAATCAAATTTCTTTTGCAACAAAAATAATGGATTTTTTTATTGACATAGTGGCACTGGTGCATTTTGCACATCAGATGTTGAATGTTCCCCGATCTGACACTGCTGCCAACATTAGAATGTGAGATGGGGGAACGCTCTCAGCTGCAATTTGAGTGATTTTGAGTAAGTTTCGTATCTAGTCATCTTTGATATAGAGCATGTGTTGGAGCAATCTCCGGAGGTGTTGTTTATCAGAATATTAGATTACTTTATTGTTGAAAATGAAAAGTAAATTTAAAAAGCAAAATGGTGGAAATAGCAGGCTCCAAACTGATAGTGAAATCCTGGAGCTTAAAAAGAAGTATGATACATTGCCTTCGGAAAATCAGATTAAAAGGTTTACAGACATGCCTTTATCAGAAAAGACGTTAAAAGGACTTATAGATTCCAAGTATACAGAACCGACAGATATTCAACGACAGAGTATATTAGTAGCATTAATTGGGAAAGACGTAATGGCAACAGCTATTACTGGAAGTGGAAAAACACTTGCTTTCTTAATACCAGTATGTACACAGTCATTCAATAACTAACATATGTATATAATAATTGAGTTTTTCAGGTTATTGAACATTTATACATGAATAAATGGTCACGTACCGATGGAGTGTGTGCCGTAGTTATATCACCGACACGTGAATTAGCATATCAGATATTCGAAACATTAAAAAGGATTGGACGTTATCACGATTTTTCGGCTGGTCTTATTATTGGTGGCAAAAATTTAAAGTTTGAACGTCGTAGAATGGACCAGTGCAACATATTAATATGTACACCTGGAAGGCTTCTTCAACATATGGATGAAAACCCATTATTTAACGCGAGTACCATAGAAATGTTGGTGCTGGATGAGGCCGATAGATGTCTGGATATGGGATTTGAAGAAACTCTTAATGCAATTGTAGAGAATTTCCCTACCGATCGTCAAACGTTGTTATTTTCCGCTACGCAAACAAATTCCGTCAAAGACATTGCAAGACTTAATTTACGAGACCCTGTTTTTATTGGTGTAAAATCCAAGTCGGAAGAGGTTATACCAGATCTATTGCAACAAAACTACGTTGTAATTGAGCTCGAAGATAAAATAACAATGTTATGGTCATTTATAAAGAATCATCTAAAACAGAAAGTTATTGTATTCTTTTCCAGTTGCAAGCAAGTGAAATACGTGTTTGAAATATTCTGTAAACTGCGACCGGGTACTAGCTTACTTGCACTTTATGGTACATTGCATCAAGATCGAAGAATAGCGATATATAATGAATTTACAAGAAAAAGTAATGTGGTATTATTTGCTACTGATATTGCATCACGTGGATTAGATTTTCCTACGGTCAACTGGGTTGTTCAAATGGATTGTCCAGAGGATGCAGTTCAATACATTCATAGAGCTGGAAGAACTGCAAGAAACAAAGCGCGTGGTGACAGTCTGCTCGTTCTAACGCCTTTTGAGGAACAAGGCATGATAAAAGAACTTCAATCTAAAAAAATATTGATCCAGAAAATTCACATCGATCCAAAAAAACTCTTCTCGCCTAGGCTAAAAATTGAGGCTGCTTTGGCACAAAACACAGAGCTTAAAGCATCTGCCCAGCGAGCTTTTATATCGTATATTAAATCCATCTTTTTAATGAAAAACAAAGAAATATTTAACGTATTCAAATTAAATTTTGAAAATTATGCAAAATCATTGGGTCTCATTGTAACCCCGCGAGTCCGATTTTTAGAACGTTTCCTAAAGAAAAATGGCAATGAACCCAAAACATTAAGTGAATCTAACGAATTTGTACAAGAAGACTCGGATAACGATGATGATTTTCTAAAAGTCAAGAGAGTTGACCACGATCTTGTAATTAACATAAATAACGACGTAATGGAATTGCACAAGAAAAATAAAATTTTAACAAAAGCTGCGGCAGCAAAAAAAGCAATTAGAAAGAAAATTACACCAAATGAAATATTGAATTTCGATGATGATGGAAATGTAATCATAGATAAAAGAAAACAACTGCAGACTGCAATTCCTGAAGAATATGAAAACAATGATGGCGGTATAAATATCGAAGTGGCGAAAAAAGTCCTATTGGAAGAAGATAAATATGATAAAGAACGGTTTAGAGAACTTGTTAAACATCGCCACAAAAAGCAAAAGAAGAAGCTTAAGAAATTGACGGACGACGATGCACACGTTGACAGTATTGACAGCGAAAGTGATGGAAGTGTTGATTTGTCCTGGTTGCCGGATCCCGATGATCTATACAGTTCAAATCGTAAAACAGAAAAGCGAAAAGAATCTGAAACGGATGAAGATGATGATGATGACATTGAAGAACCTGAAAACAAAAAAGCCAAACTAACTTCGAAACTCACATTAAATGATGCTGAATCAATTGCTGCACAACTTTTAGCAAATAAAGTTTAATTTTAATAGGCAAAAGTTTATTTACTTTAATCTTAAGTACGTACCTAATACATAAGTACTTTATATATGTCTTTGTTATGGTTATTACTGTTGGGTAACTCATTACAGAATATTTATATGCGTCTCTAATTAAAGAAATTGTGGAAATATAGGTTTTCACAGAATTCTAAATTAAATTCAGAGAAAACTATTTTTTCAGAGTAGAGTTTTTCTCTTTCGAAATTAGCTGTTTAGTATTATTCAGCCCTATCCTAAAAGAAAATTCTCCGGAAGGTGGAAAAAGTTGACATCACCAATCACATTCGATGACATTCACCGGGAATGTGCGGTCTTTTAATGGGGATGGTGCCGCCGCCCAACTGGTTAATGTCCAAATAAAATTAAAGTCTGGCATCACCGCCGTTTAAGAAGTGCGATGGACAAGGAAGGATGCCTTTTACGAGCGCCTCGAACATACTTATGAACGCTGTCCCTGACATCATGTCAAAATTGTGCTCGGCGACTTCAACGACAGGCTGGGCAAAGAAGGTATCTTCGGCACAACTGCCGGAAAATTCTGCCTCCACTACGAAAAATCCCCAAATAGGTTAGAGCTTATCGACTCGACTGGGACCGTAATATGGTTATCAGTAGCACTAGATTCCTGCACAAGCAACATCACCATCACTCCTAGGACCCAACATCGACTCGGATCACTATCTTGTTGCAACAAAGATTCGCACACGACTCTGTGCTGCAAACCCATACCTGAACTATGGAATAGCGTCTCAAACTCCCTATGTACCGCCGCTATGGAAACATTCGGACAGACTGCCTACTTCGCAACCCTGCGACCGACCAAAGCTACGGCGACTTACAGAAGGTTTATGGTCAGCCCTAAAGGTTCATACATCAGCTACTTTTCGGAATATAGTCGGACGAAGGCGTGCCCGACGAATGAAATTTAAGTGTACTTAAACGTTAGAAAAGCCACCTTTATATTGCATATAAGATCCTGTATTGTGCGTATTTTGTTCAATTAATTTAAATTAAAAATTAAGTTAAATTTCTCATTGCAGTCGGCAGGGAATGTCCACCCCTACGAATGTGTTTCGGACATAAAATAAAAGCTCCTCATAAAAAATCATCAGCCGTTCGGAGGCGGCTTAGTATAAACTATCGGTCCCCCCATTTTCTGGAAAAACACCAAGACGCAAAGCCACAAATTGGAGGAGGAGCTCAGCCGAAAACCGCTTTAACGGTTACATACATGGTGAATGCCCCAAATCTTGGAAATGACCCCTGTAAGAGGATCGACGCCCCTTCTTCATCGATTTAAAAGACGCCTTCGCTAGCACAGAAAGGGGGTGCTTTTACCCCACTATGTCTAAATTTGGTATCCCTGCAAAACTTATACGGCTGTGTAAGCCGACGCTAGACAACCCAGGATCGGAAAGGACCTCTCCGAACTGTTTGATACCAAACGATGTTTCAGACAAGGTGATTTCTTATCGTGTGACCTCTTTAAATTAATAATTTCAACCTCATTGGTATGAAATTAGTTATGATAGCATTTTTGATGATGGAAGAATTTGTAGAAATAATTTAGAAAATAAAGCACAAAACTGTAAGGGATAAGAGCGATCTGCTGGAACTGCCAGAGCCGATGTAGGAGTAGGTGCAATTCGCATTCTACTTTCGCATTTCCTGATACAAAATTTGTTTGTGTGTAAATATATAGACCAATATCGTCTTAACAAAGAAGCCTTTGTATTTGTGCTCGATGTCTTTGAAAATCAGCCAAATGTCTCCTATTAACGGTCTCTGAGACTTAAATATCTCCTTAGCGGGACCTACAATCTCGATGGTTATAACAGATATGCTATATACGTTTGAATTGTCCACGCTGGATAATTTCAGGAATGAACGACAAAGGAAAACGGAGAGCTCGTGACCATTTTAACATCAAGTACCGTTTTCCAGGCATTGCTGGTTGTAAAATCTATTGTTCATACCTTACATTTATATAAAATTTCCGCTTGTGAAGAAATTTGCACACAATTCTGTCAACGAATAACTGCTCGGTTTAATTCTGACATTTCTGTGACACCTGAAATTGGCACAAATTCCGTTTCAAAAATAAAACCGATATCCAAAGAAATAATCGGAATGTGTAACCCCTTTAACAAAATTTTGTCGGTTTGATTCCGACGACAACCTGTTTCTGTAACACCCCTGATTAATACTACTCCCAAAAAATCATACTCCCTGTGCATTTAGAATTGGCGGCTTTTTTTTAGGGGACTTCTAAATCATTATTTTTATTGCTAAAACTTCATATAATTAATTACTTAATTTTTTTCTAAATGAAATATTTTAGAGAAATTTTAATTTAAGACATCGTTGTTTGTAATAAAATACCCAAAATTTGCCTAAAAATCCAAAGAAGTCATTTTTACAGTGGCACAAAAATACGGATACGAACGGTCAAACAAAACTGAATCAATTGTCAGAAAAGCGTTTTTAGTACTAAATGTCATTTTTCTAAAGGGTGATTTTTTTTTTATCTATTATCCTTTTGGCAGCATGCACGATTCGTGTTTTGTATTACTTTTAAACATGCTCAGTTTGGTCTATAATTTAACCACGAGTCCTCTTCCAATCTAAAAACGCGTAAAATTATTGAATTTTATCATTTGTTAAGTTCGTTGAAAGTTCGAAAAAAAATTTTGTTCATCAACGAGCTCATTTTTGACTTAATGGAGTGAAGATCAAAGAAGCATTGCAAAAGCTACCAATGCATCCTGAAAAAGTCACGGTTTATAGGCTGTTGACATCATTGTACCATACTTATTCAAAAATGATGCGACCGTGAGATGATATCAAAATTTTTTGGTTTCAACAAGACGGTGCCACATGCGAAACAGCATGTGTAACCAAGAACTTATTGAGAGGCTAGTTCGGTGAACACTTGAAAAATTAACATATTTTCTGGTTCAAAACTGTAAAATAAACTAAATAAATGAACGGATCCAAATGTAACCGATAAAATAAACAGCTGTAGTACAACTTGCTGGCTAATTTTTACTGAATCCTGTTCGTTGAAAACTCAGTAAATTTCTTTCTTTGCAAGAGTAAGACATCTGACTCTCTCAATTTCGTTACTGGATAGCTATTACTGACATTTCTCAACGAACACAGCTAATAACAACAGCAAATGAATGCAACCACATGTCACCTAATATTAAAAGCAATTAATTAGACAATTTTTGTGAACGTGCTGCAAGAAACTCTCAAATGTGCCTGAATTAGCAACTGCTGTTTTATTTTTTTTTTTGTGGAAACATTAGCAAAGAAACGTATTTTCTTTGCAATTTATTAATTTTTTAATATAGCGCAAAAAATATATGCGATTCCTCATAAGCTTTTCTTTTGTTTACGTCAAAATTTACAATTTCATTTGGAACAGCAAATTGTAAAATTTTGAAAACCATAGTAAATTTTTGTAGCAGGGCTGAAATGATGAGCGACTTGGTCAAGAGTGTACTCACCTTTTCAGTTCAAGAGCCTACTCGGTCAAAAATAGCAAGCTCGATACTGCGTTGGATTTCCAGGCTGACATTGAAGTCAATGTTAACACTGGTTCCAAGATTTTTTTTTTATACACAATTCATTTATTTACTGGATCTGCTATAATATAAGCTTAACAGTAAGTGTACAAATCTTAAAAACTAAATTACAAACATGATAGCTCGAGTTTTTTAACTCTAAGCTCTTTTTAAACTACGGCGCTCTCCTTAGAAGGCGGGAACATCTCTTCGCTGCAGGTGGGAATTTCTCGATGGGTTGCATAAAGCTAGTTTGGATGATTTCTCAGCTTTGTGAAGTACTTCGTCCTGTTTCTTTCAATTTCAGGCTTAAACAATAAAATACCAAGGTCTTTATGAATATTTGTGCAACTATCCTTGAATGCCAGGCATAGCTATTCCGTCACGCGATGCCGAACTCGAGATGTTAATACATATATTCCTCCAGTTACAAGCTTCCCTGTTGGATATAGCCCTTATATGAGTGCATTAGCCTATCGATAACACCCCCACAAGAGTGGTGGGCAATTGCCAAATCTTGCCAGATATAACAATTGCGAGTGTTGGTCTGATAAAAGGTATAACTTGGCGACTTACACTGACACTAACATCAGACGACTTGCCCACACTCGATTGAAAGACCTCACGACCTTGTTTCCGCGGACCACCGGACATTTGTTAACTTTAAAAAAGCTAACTGGTCCGGCTTCACGGAATTTACCAAGAATTCCTTTAGTGCTTTCCCACTCCATCCGCAGGATTGTCGTTTCCGCTGCCTCCCGCTTCATCCCGGCAGGCCGAATTACGGAAATCCGCTCTAATTTACTGGCGGAATCGACAGTTTTAATAACAAGGCGCGACACCCTTCGTAACACCGATCTCGGATATCCCTAAGTAGAGATTTAAATAAAAGCAGAAAAAGTGGGAGGAGCGCCTAAGATCTTGTAATCTCTCCTCTGTGGCAACCAAGATCTGGCCTACAGTCAAATCGTTGTCTAACCGCCTCGTCGGACTACTGCGCTAGCTATTTCATTCGACTTTTTACACTGCATTTTTCGGTAGACAAAACGAAGGGACAAGTAAGTCGTCGCCTGCTAAAAGATCCTCAACTTGTCTTTGACCACCCTAATGATACCCGATGTTGGGTGGGGAAACCAGCTAACTAGTCTTATCGGGCGATAACTCTCCTCTGCCCAGTAGCGAAGACACTTGAAGCCTTGCTGCTCCCAACTTTAACTCACCATCTGCGTCCAGCAGCTCATCAGCATGGTTTCCGCAAAGTGCACAGTACCACAAACAGCACTTAACGTCATAAACACCTAGATAGCCAATGGCTTTAACCAAAAACGACGATATTAGCGTCTGGCCAGGATATTGATGACCTTTGTCCGAGAACGAACGGATATTTCGGCCACATGTCCCACTTTCTCACAGCAAGACACTTGAAAATACAACCGATTAAATTTTCCGCTACATTTTTCATCAGCTGAACGAAGGAATACAGGCTCGAATTTGATGTGAAGATTGATTGATTGACCCCCAGATTTTGGGAGTCATACTCGACATCCTATATTCTTTCTCTCTACATACGACCACAATTGCCGCAAAACTCCAGTGCCACAACAAAATACTCAAAACATTAGCCGGGGTAAAAATAAAGAAACCTTCCTGGCAACCTATAAAGCAACTGGCCAGACGGTTGTTGTTCTTGAAACCGCAAAAATATTCCCCAAAGTACTTTTTGGGTCCTTCTCCGAATACAAATCCGTGTCGTTCCGGAATAAAGACCTGATTGTCGCGGGTACTTATTTAGGATTTTAGTCGCCTCTTACGACAGGCATGCCTTACCGCGGGTAAATTCTTGAACCCCTAACCCGCTGGTGTTATTGACCAACCGGTCGTAAACTATGCTGCGCCGTCCTCTGCGCCGGGGTCGAACGAGATGCAGATGAAGTGACAGCTTTGTCAACTGCCCTCAGAGCCGCGACAGGAAACCTCCTAATGTCGCCACAGCATCACTTGCACAGCGAGATACCTATACTACGAGTTAAGGAGGATAATGCTTTGCTGTGTAAGCAATTCCTATTGGCATGCTACCGTAGGGAGCTGATATAAAACCTGTCCCTAAGCGGAATTAACATAGCCGCTATAGCAACAACAACACCGTAACCTGGTACTGGATCGGTCGCACTGTAGAATAGAAATACCTATCGCAAAGTTCTCATTCAGTAAGCCACTAAAACAGCCCTGCCTATTCCCCACCTTTCTGATCGTATATTCAAATCACAAATATTCTGTTCGAATTTATATTATCCTTTATTTTAAATGGTTTTCTAAGTCAAAAAATCCTTAAGCCGCGAGATTACAGACTTAAAGCATTCTAGTTGACACGCATTTCCTTAACTTACTCTTAAGTATGCTTTGTAATGCTAACACAATGTGCGGCATACGAAAAAAAATTGCATATTTTCTCGCTACTACTCGGCATACCCATTCACAAATTAGAACAACTTATGTAAGTATCAGTATCCATTCGATGAAGCTAATTTATGTATAATTTGTCAATGTTTAAAACTAGTAAATGTATCTCAGTATTTTACATATATAACATGTAAAATTTTATCATATTTAACAATGGAAATTATTAACATAGCGGAGATTTTACATCATGCCTCCCATACCGCCCATTCCTCCCATACCACCCATGCCGCCCATTCCACCCATACCAGGAGCAGCATCATCCTTTGGAATTTCAGTTACAACAGCTTCGGCAGTTGTCAGCAAAGAAGCAACTCCAGAAGCATCTGTGATGGCTGTGCGAACCACCTACAAAATATTTTGTTAAATTAAGATATATTTAATTGCTTATATTAAAACCGAAATCATACCTTTGTTGGATCAATGATGCCCTTCTCGATTAGATTACCATATTCAGCTTTAAGTGCATCATAACCGAAATCCCCATCTTTTGTTTCGACCTTTGCAACAACCATAGCGCCATCAACGCCAGCGTTTTTAGCAATAGTCATGCATGGCATGCGAAGAGCACGCCGTACGATTTCAATGCCCATATTCTAAATTTAAAATGTAGTTTTAAAAATAAAAAGCTATATAAATATAAATGCTTTCCCACCTGGTCTTCGTTAGATCCTTTAAGTCCTTCCAAAATAGGTATGCAACGGAGCAGAGCAGTGCCACCACCAGGGACAATACCCTCTTCTACTGCGGCGCGCGTAGCGTTGAGTGCATCATTTACACGATCCTTCTTTTCGTTTACCTCGACTTCACTTGAACCACCAACGCGCAATAAAGCCACGCCCGATGCTAAACGAGCCAACCGTTCTTGCAATTTCTCCTTTTCATATTCAGATGTTGTTTCGCTGATTTGATCCTTAATTTGATCAACTCGGCGTGTGATATCTTCCTTTGTACCTTTGCCTTTCAACAGTAACGTGTCGTCCTTTGTAATAACAACCTCACCTACTTTTCCAAGATCGTTGATCTGTACATCTTCCAGTTTAACCAAGTTTGCATCATCACCAAAGACAATGCCACCTGATGCTATAGCCATATCAGTTAATGTAGATTTTCGATTATCACCAAAGCCAGGTGCCTTGACAGCGGCCACCTGTAGGCCAATTTTCAAACGATTCACAACCAGTGTGCTTAAAGCTTCGCCGTCAATATCTTCTGCAATTATAACCAATGGTTTGCGCTGCGAGTTGGCCAATTCAAGGGCGGGGATAATACTTTGTACGGATGAAATTTTCTTTTCAGATAAAAGTACCAAGGCATCTTGGAATTCTACTTTGGCCCCCTTTGAGGAATTAATGAAATATGGTGAAATGTAACCTCTATCAAATTTCATGCCTTCAATAACTTCCAATTCATCCGAAAGTGTTTTACCGTCTTTGACTGTAATAACACCATCTCTGCCGACCTTCTTCATTGCTTCGCTGATCAAATTTCCAACTTCATGGTCACCATTTGCAGATATTGTGGCCACCTGAGCAATCTCTTCGGGTGTATTAACTGGACGTGACATTGCCTTCAAGTGGTCTTTAACACTGTCTACAGCCAACATAACACCACGACGAATTTCAACAGGGTTGGCACCCTTAGAAATTTTCTCAAATCCTTCTTTGGCAATAGCACGTGCTAGAACCGTAGCTGTGGTAGTTCCGTCACCAGCTTCCTCGTTTGTATTATTAGCAACATCTTGAACTAACTTTGCACCAATGTTTTGGAATTTATCCTTCAACTCAATGGACTTAGCTACGGTCACACCATCTTTTGTTATCTTTGGTGATCCCCATGATTGCTCAATAATAACATTGCGGCCTTTTGGGCCCATGGTAACAGCAACGGCATCAGCGAGAACATCGACACCCTGCAACATTAACGCACGTACCTCGGGACCAAATTTCACATCCTTAGCGTATCCTCGGAATGCCAATTGGCGGTGGATGTTAGCACGTGCAAATCTTAGGGGTAAGCGCAACATCTAGGAATGATAAAGGGCAATTAAAACAATATTATTATTTTTATTAAATGATCCCAAATGGAAGTTATTTACAACGGTTTTTATTATCAAAATACACTGAAAAAAAAATTAAAAAACAATCTATTTCTTCACTAAAATTTACTTTTAGCCATAAGAATTCACATTAACATTATATATAATTGCAATTATTACCATATTTACCTAAATCACTAATTAAATGGACTATCTTTTCTTCAAGCCTCTGTGAATATGTGCATGTATACATACACACGTACATGATCAGAAACATACATGCACTTATCAGAGGTCTTTCTAGAAAGATAGCGAATGAGAGCTTATTCTGCTATATTTTTAGGTTATGTTGACTCTGATTGGAAGTAAGATATTTTTTTTTTTGATTATCAAACATATATGCTCAGTTGAATACTTCAAACCAGTTTAAGTTTCATATTTACTTAATATATACAGGTTTTCATAATTTGATAATGCAATCTTATGCATTGATCGAAGGTCAACCCAGCACATGTGCCAATAACAATCATATAAATTTCACATTTTTTCCTCAATTTTCTTACATTAAAAAAAAAAATTTCACTTCCTAATCATATGTGACCTGACCTCCTTGTTTGTCTTTAGCTTATATTAGATTTTAGAACTACAAAAAAACCACTTGCTTTTAGTATTCTTATAATATACATATGAAAAACTCAGCAGTGAAAATGTTTCCAAAGAATATTCTAGCAATTTACCGGTATCTACCGGCTCGTTAAATTATGTAACGCTTTTAAAATATTTTATAAACTGCACTTACATTGTATCCTTTTTATTTCTGTGGTAAATAAGATTCGAAAATCTCTATTAAGAGTTGTTAAATGCCAACGTCAATATGTTAAAACGTGCAGAAAAACAAACCCAATAAATTCTTTAAGATTTATAGACGGCGAGAAAAGTCCAGGCACACCACGTTAGAGCCAGTAGATCTGATTGGAATAAGTTTTTTAGAGCTACCAGTTTCTTGAAATCATTTGTAATTAACTTATCGATTTTAACCCTGTGTGAACATGAAAAAGAGTACTTCCCTGTTCAGTGTTGAAATTACCCTAGATTTCTGAAAGTTTATTGGGCAGTTGGTAATGAAAGATGGTGTGGCGAAATGTGGCGTGAGAAGGTGATGCCGATAACTAAACCGTCTTGTAAATAGAGCGCATCTACGAATATTTGTTCGAGAACATTCAAAACTAATGTTCTAAGAGATACTTGCGTGCAATTTGTAGTTATATATGAGCGAATTTGGCCTATGAAGAAAGCCTAGAAGAATACTTCGGAAAGGTAATAAAACAAAGGTTCAAAAGCGGACTGAGGGATATGTACACCTAGCGGGATACATATTGTTATGATATTGCAAATTTAACCTCGATGGTTTTCTGAATCCTTCGGGTACGATCTCTGGATTGCTAAATAAAACTCGCCAACTTAATTTGTAGTTTCTTTCGTTACAAAGAATTTATCTAATGTCCTTTATTTCCCCCGTAATTCCCAATTCAATTACAGTGCACTTTACTAGCTACTATCACTTGCATAAACTTCCACAATTTACTTTACTTTAATGTAATTTCCAATTCGTTTACTTTCCGGCTCTACACTGACGTTAACGCCGACGAGTTCACTTTGTAACTAACTTGACTTGGCAGCTGAGTGTCGCCCTTATATAGCAGCCGGCTGCTCGTAGACGAAAGTGTAGAATACTTGAGTTGTTCGCTATCGAAGGTTCTCGTTTTATTGTTTCTAGAATGTACTAGTTATCGGCTTCTCTCTTTCATCTGATATTCGCCTCGCGTTTTCGCAGCACTGCCCTCCACCTAAGTCTGATCGTCCCAATCAGACACATTCACTGTTCCAAACTTAGCGAGCCTCTCAAGGTACACTACGTAATTTAGTCGCTTGATTATCTTGTATGGACCTTCCCAATTACATTGAAGTTTTGGAGATAAACCCCTCTTCCGTTGTGGGTTGTACAGCAACACCAAATCTCCATGTTGGAAACCTTCGAAGATCATTGCCTTGTCATACCTGGCCTTCATTATGTCACTCATAACTTGAGTTCGCTGTCTCACAAGAACATGTACCTCTCTTAGCTCTTACTCGAGATCGGTAGACGTTACC